AAATTCATTAATTCAAAACATGGGATGATCTGCTTTTTGGTCAGGACCTTAGCATGTTCATATTTTAAGTCCATCACAAAACTTAGGCCCCGTTTGGTTCGTAGGAATAGGGGTTTGAAATCAAAATTGGAATGGGCTATTCCGATTCCAATTGTTTGGTTGGGTGGAATTGAAATCCCATTACTATTGGAATGACATTCCCCCATTTAAGGGAATAGCCATTCCCTATCCTTCCCTTTGGAATGAAATCTCATTCATACTGATTTTAATTCCCATTCCCATTCATGACTGAACCTAATAGACTATAGAAATAAACCATTCCGATTTCAAAGAATTTTGATTCTGATTCCAATTCCGGTTGCGAATCAAATGGACCCTATATGTGACTCATTGGTCATATGTGAAATTCCTTAAAAACTTACTCTCAACTTGATCAGCTTGCAAAGTCATTGATGGATGTAGTTTCCACCAACCCCGTCAATTGCCTTATTTCTCCCTGAAAGAAATGTGGGATGTGCAACTAATTAAACTTTGATACCAAGCATCTTGTTTTCACATACAAGTTCTTTATCTTGTAAATCAACTACATCACAAGATCCAAATCGACTACCATCTTGTGGACATGAGTCCAAATCATTTCCAAGATTATTAGAAATGGCAGTTTGTGCATTATCTAGAGATTCCTCTTTCTTTATCTTTTCCACTCTAGTACGGATCTTTTGGAACCCATTTAATACATACAAATATGTTTTCCACTTTATTCAACCTAATTTGATGTATCTCGTGAAATTCTCATGAATTCAGTGTATCTCATAGTATACTCACAATTTGGATCAAGTTTAATGACACAATCATGATAATCTAATTACACTTCTATCATTTACATCTCTTGATCGTCTTTTTAAAATATAATAGAATTCGGGATGGAAGTTCCATTATCTTATTGTCAAAGAGCACTCTCAACTCATCAACACAAAATGTATTTGCTGGAAAGTGGGTAATGGAACCAATATTAAAGGTCTGGGAGGATCCCTGGATCCCAAATATAAGTGGTTTCAAATTAATGGGCCCAATGAATCAAAGTAGTGAGAACTTAAGGGTATCTAATCTAATAAACCATGAGAGTAGAAGCTGGAATGATGAAATGGTAAATTCCACTATACCTGCTGGTTTTACCCCCAAAAATTTAGACATGGAGATCCCCACAAACTGTTGGGGTAATAAATTAATCTAGCTAGGTAGCAAAAATGGGAAGTTCACAGTTAGATCAGCTTATTTCCTGGCTAAACAAATGCAAGAAGAGAACCTAATAGTTCCTGAAGACTCCACACAAATTAAAAATTTCTGGAATTTGGTGTGGAGACTTCCATCAGAACAAAAAATTAAACATTTTCTCTGGAGATGCTGTGTAAATGGTTTAGCTGTTAAAGAAAATCTAGCAAAAAAGGGTTTAGGGGATTATAATATTTGTGAAAGATGTGAAAAAGAAACAAAAACAATTACCCATGCTCTACTCCTTTGTGATAAATCAAGATGCATTTGGTTGGGGTTTGGTGTTGGTATTAATCGAATATATAGTCAAAAATTTCCAAGCTTTAAGGATTGGATAGTGCATATCTTCCTCAGTCTTAGAAAGACTCATCTAGAAAAATTAGCAAATATTGGTCATGTTTTATAGAGCATTTGGAAAGATAGAAATTTGTTTTATTTTGAAAATGAAAATCCAAATCCCTTTGTTGTCATTTCTCAAAGTTTTAAGTCAATAGTGGAGAGATATCATCTCTGGCAACAGAGATCAGAAAGCTCTTCCAAGACTAGTCAAAGCAAAAAGGATGTTTTTTGGATTCCACCAGATCAGGGCCGCATGAAAGTCAATATTGATGGTGGTTTTTTGGAATCTTCTAGGTAGGCTTTTTTTTTTTGCTTCATTAACATAGACCATTTGGGGTGCTGCTGGGGTGTGGGTTCAAAAGCTTTGTCTCCACTGAAATCAGAAGCGCAAGCCCTTCTAAAGGCAGTTGTTTTTGCAGATAAAATGAACAAATCTGATCTCATTTTTTAATTTGATTGCAAATATTTAGGAGATTTGGATAAATGATGCTAATGGCTGTGAAGACCAGAAAATCCTCTTTTGTTGCAGGGATATAAAAGAAATTACTTCTAGAAGAAATTTCATAGTTCAATTTTGTCTGAAAGAAGCTAACCAAGCAGTGCACACAGCGGCCAGATATGGTTTTTCAAGAGATTTTGAATCTAGTCTTGCTAGCCCGTTGTGTCTCTCTAATATAGTAAATTTGGACTTGGTTTTCTGTAATCTTTTGTAGTTTTTTTTTTCCTGTGACTCTTGTTTGTATTTGCTTGTGTGTTTTTTTTTTGTCTATTTTCCCTTATGCCTGTCTCAATTTGTAGTTGTGTTTTTTCTTCTTGAATGAAATGATTATCAGTTTCCTACCAAAAAAAAAAAAAAATCATGAACACAAAGTAATCCGACAAACTTTACAATTGCGTGAAACTGTCACATTTGCTAAAGAAAATGTCACAAAATATTGATGATGGTTACTATACATGCTTACCTTATACTTGAGCATCTCTTCACTTTTCTGTAAGACATAGCCAAGAACTTAAATACTCCTCAAATTCCCTAAAACGTGTAGGAGTATATACCTTTACAACATATTGTAGCATTGGCAGTAGTGTATGCAAATGAGGCTTGCTCTAAATCATCTTAAAATCTAACTCTACTTCTTTTTGGCATCTATCTTTCACTACCCCTTCAAAATGGATAAAAAAACTGAGATAAATTTAATGATGATTTCAGCTATCCTCTCAATGAATTATTCATGCTCTCACTCATGTGAATACTTTCCATATTAGCCAAAAAAAGAGAGTTCCTTGCATAGACTAATGCCCACTTCTCTCTTATTTGAAAAAGCCCTTTCAACCATGCATTTTCTCTCAATCATACTTATGAAGCATCTCATCCCATGCCATGAAAAATTCATCCTCTTCTTCTAAGTCATATATCATTCTACTGAAATCCTTCTCAAAAGTCTTCTAACCACAAAAAAAACATGAGATAAATGTTTGGTTGCATTGCATTTTGATAAATGTACTTTATACAAAGTCGATGGTCAACCCTTGGGAAATCTTGTTATATTGCATTTTCCATTGTTGCACATTGATCTGCTAAGACTGTTTTTAACATTGTCCCAGACATTGCTTTCAAAAAAAAATCCAGAAACCAATATGAAAGACTTAGTGGTCTCATCACAAAGCAATTCAGCCCCAAAAATCATAATTTGCCTATAATGATGAACACCAACAAAGGGGCAAATGGTTGTTCATCTTAATTGGTCCTGCAAGTAGTGCCAAAACACACTACATCTCCAAAATAATGATCGTCAGCTACCATTCTTGCATCTGCCTAGAAGATATCTATTATTTGATCTAAAGCATCAAATTGAATGGAGTGTAAAGATAATGAATTCTCTAACTGTAGCTTTTCTAATACTCCATAATTGCTCCTGCACTTCCCATTTCCATATCTTTTTGTCTCTTTGTACACAAATAGTTACTATATTCAACATGATTGAACCCTAAATGCTTAACTCCAACTGTTTACCCCATAAATTCCATAGTTGCTTTTGGACATATCTCTAATTTATCTACAAATATTGACCAGATGTTTGAATTGCAACCAGCACATGTGCTTTCACTTCAGCTCTTCGTTTATCCCGACCACAAAAGCCATGTGTAGAAAAACAAAATAACTTATCTTTTATTACACCACTTTTTGTCTAATGCTCAATGCTTTTTTTGGTACTAAAACCTAATCTTCTACCATACTCATTATAAAAATAATATGCATCCTCTAATGTTTCAAATAACATTCCCAATTTCAGTTATTGTTCTCCCATTTTTTTTATTATTGGCTCATTTAAACCTGAAATGTTATGTCTCTCCTTATCAAAATCCAATTTACTGTTAGCTTGGCACCAGACGTCTTTAAGATCAACTTCACTACCTAGCATAGTACAATCTAGTGCTCATTTTGAAAACCAATAAATATCAAACCCCTGCAATAAAAGAGTAGGAATGGCAATTTTCCCCATTTCTCCGATCCCTCCAGGGATCCGCCCCAAATGGGGTGGGGATGGGGATGATTTTCCCCCGCGGGGACAATGATGGAAAATTTTCATCCCCGTTAGTGGGGACGGGGTGAGCACTCCCCGCCCCTTAGGAACCCTGATCCCTGCCCCGTGGGATCCCCACTAATATACATGTATTATGTATATATGTATGCATACGCTATACTTATATATGTACGCACATGTCTATATATTAATATTTTTAAAAATATGGTTGAATATGTTTGAATCTTTTCTAATAGAATTATAAATTTTAGGGTAAAATACAAAAACGTCCCCTGAAGTTTTTGACAAGCATAAAAACCTCCCCTATATTTTCATTTTAATAAATACCTCCACTGAACTTTGGAGAAACTCAACAAAAACCTCCCTTCCGTCACTGTCCCAGACAGAAAACGTTAGATTGATACACCCGTTGTTTTCCAAATACCCATTCTACCCTTTTATAAATTATTTTACATACAAAATTACTGAAATAACCCCATTTTAACTCAACAAAAACCTCTTTTAATGATCATTTCAGTAAATTTACATGAAAAATTACTGAAATATACTTTTTTTGTTGAGTTAAAATGGTATTATTTTATATGTAAAATAATTTATAAAAGGGTGTGATGGATATTTGGAAAAAACTGATGCATCAATATAGGAAATATTTTTGTAAGGGTAAAATGGGTAATGATGAAATGGAGGTTTTTGTTGAATTTGTCAAAAAGTTCAAGAGAGGTATGGGGGATCCGTGGGGGGGGGGGGGTCTTTCGATCAAGTCACACAAGACCATGTAACGTTTTGATTTCACTAACAGTTCACCAATGATCAAGAGGATTACATAGCCAAAAACCCAATACTACGATGGTGGCAGTTGTGTCCCGTGTAAAGAAACAAGCAATCCGATAGAAAGAACAGCAATGTTAAGTAATTCCAATTTTCATGAGTTGTTATTTTCTTTCAGCATTTAATCTTCACTCGGAATTTATACATTTCACACAATTAATCCAATAAAATTTCCCAAAATCCCACATCAGAAATTCTTTTTGGTGACAACTTTCCAGAATTTGTACATTTTATCCTATCTGTAACCACGTCAAAACCATCCCATAAGATAGAAACAAAAGAGAAGTGTGATCGGGAGAATAAAAATCTACAAATGGGAACAATTCTGGAAGTTACCATAGCTTCGTCTCTCTCTCTGAACCGCACCGGAGAAATGCACTTATCTCCGTCCGTCGTCCGTCGTATCCTCGTCCGGACGCTGGCGTTGGTGTGCTCGGCATTCTCAGAATGGGTGTGGACTGTGGAGTTGCTCAGAGAAGGGGAATAGAACGAGGGGGATTATTACTCAGGGAAGGGGAAGAACGAATGGAGTTGATTCGGGAGAGTTGGCGTGTTCGATTTTGATTGGCGGTCGCCGCAGATGCGTCCTCGAGCTATTACACCCTTGCGCGTGGGCTACAAGCCCATCTAAAACGCGTTGCAGTGGGAACGTACGCTGTGCAGACGAATCAAACGTCAAGAATTAACGCATCCCATTCACATGACAAATCTTAACCGAGTTCTGTTCTGTTTGTATCTACCCCCAGTCTTGGATCGGTAGACCCAAACATCCAATAAACAGTCTACGATTCCTTTGCCACTGTTGTTGCTTAATGGCTGTAATCAGAAGAACCAACATCTGCGCCGGTGGCAGCCGCACCGACGGTGCAATACCTTTGTTTCTCATCTTCTCCTGTTTCTGTGCTGCTGCTGCTGCTGCAGTAACAGACACTCTCGCACAGAACCAGTTGCTCAGGGACTGGGAGCAATTGATATCCGCAAATGGAACTTTCAGGTTGGGGTTCTTTAGCCCGGGCTCTTCCTCCAATCGCTACCTGGGCATTTCCTACTATCAAGCACAGAACCTAACCGTGGTCTGGGTTGCCAACCGACGCATCCCCATCACGGATTCTTCCGGATCTCTTACGATTTCCTCCGATGGAAGCTTGGAAATCATACACAGTGGACAGAGTAGTCCTATCATGTTAAGTTCCAATGCGACCGCCACCAAGGGTAGTAATCTCACGGCTACGTTGCTCGACTCTGGGAATTTTGTGTTCAGAGAGCTCGATTCTAATGGAACCGTGCTGCAGGTCCTGTGGCAGAGCTTCGATTACCCCACCGACACGCTCCTCCCCGGGATGAAGCTGGGTTTCAACTCCGACACCGGCCTTAACTGGTCTCTTACTTCTTGGCTGAGCACGGACGACCCCTCTCCCGGCGCTTTCTCTCTGGGCGGGGATCCCACGGGCACAACCCAATTGATGGCCTGGCGCCGAGGGAATGTTTATTGGAAGAGTGGGATCTGGAATAACCAAAGTTTCGAGAACGTTCCCGACTTGACATCCGACGACGTCAGGTACAATTACAGCTACATCTCGAATGAGAACGAGACCTACTTCACGTACTCCCTCAAGAACAGCTCTTCTCCTCCCTCGTTATGGGTTCTGATTTGGCTGGGCGGCTTCGATCAATACAAGTTCTACGAATCGGACGATAAGTATCTCAGCTTAAGAATTCAGTGTCCACCTCATAACTCCTCCGGCGACAAGGCTAAACTGATGGGGTGTGTGAACCAGACGGTGGTCGAGTGCAGGAGCGGCGACGATTTCGACCGGAAGAGGGGGTATGTGAGCGGTACACCATACCGATACGTAGAAAATACGAGTATGGGACTGATTGATTGTGACGAGCTGTGTTGGAACAACTGCTCTTGTGTCGCTTATGGCACATTGTATGACAACGCAACGGGATGTCGGCTTTGGACCACGGACGCCGGTTTCCGGGAAGACAATAATTCCCCCGGCGACATATACATTCTTCGATCCTTCTTTGATCAAATTACTGCCAGAATAAATAGTAAGTCGCTTTATTTAATATTTTCGTTGTGATTTCTCTATTATAGTAGAGATACAGCCTCTCCGGAGATATTCCCGGTGCAAGGCTATAAAGACTGTTCGAACGGTCGAACGGGCCTTGCACGGCCCAATAAGGCCCAGAGGTTCTGTTGGTCGCTTTTGTTCATATCCCGTCTATGGCCCGAAAACAAAATTTAGTACCCATGTTCTGAGTTTGGATTCTATGATCGAAGGCGAACCCGACCAGATAAGGTGATCCAAATTCAATTCATTTATAATTGAAGTGTATAATATATGATCCGACATCCGAGAATATTTAAATATATTATTTATGTATTTTCTTTATTAAAATTGGGCTAATTGATGTAATTTTTTTTTGGAACATGGGTTCAAGCTTGATGGAAGTAATTTTCAAATCATTTTATTCATGATATCAAATGCTACGTCAGCCTAATACATGGACCCTACATGCATGGAGCTGATGTGGTCTAATATGATCCCCCATTTTTTAGGAAGAATCGGGATTTATTCCTCACATAGCGCATCTTATACCAACCTCACAACACACCCCATGAATAACAACACACAAGTAGTGGAGATGTTCCCTGCCGGCTGCGTCTGGGATGTGTTATGAGGTTGGTGTGAGGAGCAGATTCGGACTCCTTTCAAGAAGAGGCAATGGACATAGTTCTTATAATGCATTAGTAGGGTTTTAATCAAATCGATGTAGATGTCAGGCCGATGATCAAATCCTTGGATCCAATTCTCATATATCAGACTTGGATTGGGTTCGGATTTAATCTGTTTTTACCTTATTGTTGTTAAATTGATAAAATTTAACAAAAAAATCTAAAAAATTAGTTACTTTTAATAATAAATGTATGAAAATATAAAATATTAAATTATTAGTTATAAATTTTATATAATTATATATAACATCTATATTTATAAACATATTTATATTACACAACACACATATATAATAATAATAATAATAATAATAATAATTTTTTAATCAAATTCAGATTTTAATTGAATTTAATGGGATTAAATCCACATCAGTTATTAATCAGATGCATGTTATAACATCCAAATATTATTATTATTAGGTATCAAAACTTTCAGATGTCAAATCAGGTATCAAAACTTGCATCATAGCCATTAGCCAACACGGGTGTGGGTGTGCTCCCTTTTCAAAAATGGTGAGTGCTCAAATCACTCCCCAAATTAATAAATAAATAGAAGTTCTATGTCACAAATTCGATGTAAACTTTCACAATTGATGCCCATGAGTTGGATAAAATGATACATTGTCTTCTCCTATGAAGGAAAGAAGAAGTGGTGGATATGGATCACAATAGCAGTAGTAGCTGGTGCCACAATTCTTGTTTTAGGCCTCTTGTATTGCTTGAGGATGAGACTCAAGTCAAAAGGTAATCTCTCATAGTTAACATAAAATGGTGAAAGGAAATTTCTAACAATTTGTTTATATCAAGTGAATGACATATTTTATTTCTCGGTCTGTCTGTCCAACAGCAGAAAAAGAAGAGAGCCAAGAGATGAGTTTACTTAAGCTGGGAACTAAGCTATCACCTTCTGAAGAATTACTTAACTCAAATTATCTGGAAAATGATGGGACAAATGATCATGAGTTGAAAATTTTCAGTTTGGCGAGTATTAGAGTGGCCACAGATGATTTCTCATTAGCAAATAAGCTTGGGCAGGGTGGATTTGGACCTGTTTATAAGGTAAACACATAACTGGTTTCTTCTATATATTTTTACTTCAATGAAATTTACTTCTCTCTTCTTTGGACCTGGCAATTACCTTCTCTACTACTTAATTTAGGGCAAATTACCAGAGGGTCAAGAGATTGCAGTGAAAAGACTGTCAAGATTGTCAGGTCAAGGAGTAGAGGAGTTCAAAAATGAGCTTGGACTTATAGCCAAACTCCAACACACAAATCTTGTTAGGCTTTTGGGTTGCTGCATTGAAGGAGAAGAAAAGATGTTAATCTATGAATACATGCCCAATAAAAGCTTGGACTCCTTCCTTTTTGGTAGTTTTTGCTTCACATATACTTCTTTGTTTGCAATATTTCAGCTATTGTCTATTTGTTTTTTATTACTTCCAAAAATTAATTTGATCTTCCATGTTTTGTTTTGAGACAGATCCTACTAAAAGGGAACTGCTGGATTGGAATAAAAGATACCATATCATTGAAGGAATTGCTCAAGGACTTCTCTATCTTCACAAGTACTCTAGACTGAGGGTAATACACAGAGATTTAAAAGCAAGTAACATTTTATTGGATGATGAATTGAACCCTAAAATATCAGATTTTGGCATGGCCAGAATTTTTGGAAGAAATGAATCTGAAGCAAATACCAACAGGGTTGTTGGAACATAGTGAGTAATGGAATTTTTACCTTTTTAAATTATGCCCTCTCTGATTTTTTTTTTCTGCATCTTGTTTTTTTTTTTTTCTTTAAATGCTAAAAATGGTTTATTACTGATTTGTTGCAGTGGATACATGTCCCCTGAGTATGCCATGGAGGGAATTTTCTCAGTTAAATCTGATGTCTATAGCTTTGGGGTCTTATTAATAGAGATTGTGAGTGGTAGAAAGAACACTGTTTACTATGACTTTGACCCCCCACTCACTCTTCTTGCTTATGTAAGTTTTTTTTTATCTAATCTTTTGTAATAAAACCCAGAAAATATTACAAAACTGAAGTGAGTTTGTCTAACAACATGAATGAAATTGTTTCTTTTTTATTTCAGGCTTGGGAGCTGTGGAAAGCAGGAAGAGGGGAAGAGCTCATAGACCCAAAATTGGGCCCATCATATCCCATAGATGAAGTACTGAGATGCATCCATGTGAGTCTCTTGTGCGTTCAAGAATGTGCAGTTGATAGACCCACAATGTCAGATGTTGTTTCCATGCTCAGCAATGAAACCATACACCCACCTGAGCCCAAGCAGCCTGCACGTTTAACTGGGAGGGCTGCAATCGAGGTGGACTCACACAGAGGCGGGTCAGAGAGTTGTTGTTCCATCAATGAAGCATCCATTTCTGTGATTCAAGGTCGATAGACAAGATTTCTCATCTCTGAACCCTGGGATTTACCCTATGACTATTTTGTTAATTCAATAGGGATGTATATACAGAATATAGAGAGTACCTACATGTCAATTGACTGGTTTTGGGTTGGACCCGTCCAAATCAAAATCATTTTGGACAAATTAGATGGACTAATAAGATATATTGAATTGGACCTGTACAGATTTAATGGTACAAAGTATTTATTGGATTGGATTGGATTGGACCCAGTCCATTTATAATGGATTTATATTGGATTGAGGCCATGATTAAGTGGTTGTTAATACAAGTACTTCTTATTTTAGCAACCACTTAAGGCTGTTTGGTGACCCACTTGCAAAATCACTTATTATGATTTTAAGCACTTATTGGGGTGGGGATGTTTGGACTATTTGGTAAATTACTTTCTCCATAAGTGGTGATTATATTGACACAAATGAGAATTTTAACCCTCACTTTATTCATACCTATATACAATGCTTTTCACATATTATATTATACATTTCAATGAAAAAATGCCACATCATAACAACTGAGAGCCCACGTGGATCCACACGTAAAGCGCAATGTGGACCCAATTAATAATAATAATAAATATTATTGATAAATAATAATAATAATAATAATAGCAAATAATGAATAATATTTATAAATAACAATAATAATAATTTAACAAATATTGAATAGTATTTCCAGAATTTTTTTGCATGATTTTTAACAAAATTATGGAACTGCCCCTCCCCTTAAATATAAATTTAAACTTGCAAAGCTGAAGGGTTGTTCATCGTCTTCATCCTGAAGGCGAGAACACAACGGCGGTAACCCCACATTTCCAATTCCTCCCCCCTCTTCTTTTGTCCATCTTCCCTTTCATTCCTACTCTCTTCTCCTCCCTATCTTCTTTTCCTGCTTCTTTCCCATCCCCATACTCTGGTCACGGAAAGCATCTTGCAACGGTGATATCCACTTAGTTTTCAATAATATATCAATGGTTTATTGCTGTTTTCTGGAATACATCCTGATCTGAAGTGCTTCATCAATTTCCTCTGTCATTTTTGGCTCCTCAAACACATCCTTGATCCTTTGTTCTTCCCTGGCGTGACAAAGGGGATAGTAGTGGCGGTGATTTGAGTTATTGTTCCTCTGGTGATACCAGGCAGTATTCTCAACTTTAGATCAATCCATCTTCATTGTCTTTGATCATTTTTTGGTTTGCTATGTTCGAATGATAGGAGAGGGAGGTAAAACCCTCGCGTGGGGGTATTTTGGATATTAAAAAAATACCAGGGACTAGTTCGTCCCATTCTATTGGAAGAAGTACTTCTCCAAGAAGTACTAGAAAAAAAAAACCAAATTCGGGTCACTTTTTTAAGAAGTGTTTCTTTTAACAAAAAATACTTCTTCCCCACTTTTTATCAAACACATAAAAAAACTTAATAACCACTTAATGTGTGATCCCAGCTCTTAAAAGAAGTATTTTTAGAAGTGAAATCAAACAGGGGCCAAATCAAATTGAACCAATATCCAGTCCATTGATGGAAGATAAGAACACAAATGTCAATGGGCCAGGTTCTGATTGGAACAGATCTAAATTAAAACCTATTTGAACAAATTGGACGGTTAAGACATTTAACTGGACCTAAAATGTTCCAAAGTATTCATTAGGTTGGATTGGACCTGGTCCATTTGTAATGGACTCATATTACACCAAATCTTGTGCAATTGACACCCATGTTAAGTGTCATGAACACATCTAGCGAGTGCTTATGTTTTTTCATATAATTTTCATTCAATTTTGTTAATAACTATAGAAACTAACAAATCCCAACACAAGCTTATATAGCAAAGGAAAATCCCTTCAACAGTTGACATGCCTGCAATTAGAACCAGAAAAATGTTATTGGTTTAAAATAATAGATTTGTGGAGATCCCTCCAGAACATTTGAATTATGTTAAAGGTGATTTGTAAATTTTTAATGGGTAGAATCCTAGGAAACTTAACATTCATTTGAGGCATCTACTAATCTTACAACCAATTATAGAGTTGGTGGCATTTGATAAAACCTGAAATCTGAATTCTGAAAAAAATATGTATATTTTTTGAGCCTTCATGATCCATCTGAAAATATTCTGCGCGTAAGCCACCAGTCCATTAGGGATATAAATGAATTGGATTAGATTTGAATTAAGATATATTTGAATATGTTCTGCTGTTTTGGTGGGAAGTCACAAAGGTCAATTTGAATTCAAATCCCTTAAAAATGTTGGATATCTAAATATAATCTGATCCGATTCGATTTAATTTATGTAAAAACATAATAAATTATTAAAAGTAAAAGAAGCATAAAAATTATGTAAAGAAAAAAAAAATACATACATTTTTTTCAACTATATATACAAAATAGAATCAAATTCAAATTGTGATAGGATTACGATCGATCCGGTCTATTTGCACCCCCTATAAAAGATGAATCATGAAACCATGACCCATTGCACTAACGTAACCTCGATGAATTGACACTTGGTCAAGTTTTGATCCTTTACGAAACATTGATGAAGCGCCAATGGAGCAATTTCGTTTGACAGAGGGGGAAAAGGAAGTGGTGTCAACCTGTCAGCCTATCTTTCAAAAACAACTATCAACCTCAAAATGAAAGCAAAATCTTTTTGGCAATTGTTTGGTTCATCTATTTGACTTTCGCAAATAAAAAATTAGAAGAATTAGTAAATTGGTTTCTGCTAATTTACATAAAAAAAATGCCTAAACCAATAAATTTGACCAAGTCAACATATTTGAGCCGATTGCCTAAATTCCTCCACAAAATAAGCTCGGTTAAGGTAGTTTTGAAAAAAAAAAATAAAAGAATTTGAGCCCTTCAACAAAGTTGGAATATGTTCGGTTATGGTGGCGCCTGATGTCATATAGTTGGAATAAGAATAAATAAACAAATGAATTTTGAGTTATGTGCACAAGTACAAGCATTTTGTTTAAAACAAACCAACCAAACGAAAAAAATAACATTAGGTAAGGTTGAAATGCATATGTATATATTTAGCATGGCTTTCGTTTATTAAATAAAGGCTTGTACTTGATTCATCTTCAAAAATAAAATACAAAAAAAAAAAAGTGATTGATAAAGTTTTTTTGAGATTTGTTGACAATTAGATGTCATTAGGCACCATATCAGCAGAATAGTGAATAAATTCTTAATCGTTGGAGGAAGTGTTAAAAATAAAACTTCCCTCAACAGTTGATACACACATAAGATAAGACAACTTTTTTCAATACATATACGTGCGAATCAGCATGATGGGACAAATGCTGATTTGGTGATGACATAGCACCATTTATCAAATAAAATGGAAGTCATACCAAGAGAAACTATCATAGTACTGAATTTGGATTTATACCTTGCAAATTGTAACTCACAGCACGCGTATTAGAAATGTTCTCAAGTAAATTACAAGTGCAGAGATGTCCCTGATGTGTGGCTCAAGTTTGTGAGGTTGGTGTGAGGTGCATCATGTGACTATGAGAAGCAAATCCGAATTCCATGTTCTTGAACATCATCTTAGGCTGCATTTTACATGACTGTTTGTTTTAAGGTGTTGCTGCTTTTGCTTCAAGCAACAATAAAACAACTTCGGATCTCCTGTCCACAAGAATTTTACCCACATGTAGGGTTGTCAATTGGATTGGATTTGGTCCAATCTAGTCCAATCCAATATTGGTCCATTATAAATTGATGGAGGGCCAGCGCGGGACCCACCGAACCAATCGGCGCCAGCTCAAGATTAGAAGGACTCCTTATGCCAACCGACCTCGGATGATGGTGGACATCGAACAGTGGGCGTCAAAGGCATTGACATCGGACGACAAGTCACGTTTCCTAGTTGTTTTACAAGTCTGAATTACCTAGTTATTTTACTCTACGAGTCTACCAATGTCTATTATAAATACTTATGTTTTTGAGCTTTAATAACACACAAGAATTTCTTTTATCACTTCTCTCTCTACTAAGGCTCTACGCCAAGTTCTTTTCGTGAGGCTTCAAGTCCGAAGCCGACTCGATCGTCCGTGTGCTTGTATAGATAGCCCGGTCGAGTGCGTCACGCTGCGTCAGGTGGTATCAGAGCGGGAGTTTGCCCAGTCAGATGGACAGCCAAAACGGTAGCAGTCGCAACCCACCCCGTGACGGAGATCAGAGGTTACAAGCTGTTTGGAGAGCAATCGAAGAGCAGCGTACAGCCACTCATAACATTGAGCAACAGTTGGCAGAGATCGCTGGACAACTACGGACTTTGTTACGAGAGGATGTTCCAAGGAATAGGGATCACGCATTGCACCAAGCCGGAGGAGACGACCATGGTAGACCAATCATTGATCCAATACCCCGGAACCCTATTCTTGATGATGATAGCGACGACGAGCTAGAATTCGGCGTTGCTCCAGTTATTCCCGGTGATGGTAGAACCGGTAGGAATTGGCAAAATTCCGGCAATTTTAATCATCGTCGTAATATTGATGAATTTAAACCAAGGTGGATATTCCTACTTTTAGTGGAGATCTGGATATAGAGGGCCTTCTAGATTGGATCACCGAGGTCGACCGTTTCTTCAAGTACATGGAGATCCCGGAAGAAAGAAGGGTGAAATTAGTAGCTTTTCGATTGAAGGGGGGAGCATCTGTCTGGTGCGAACGAATGAGGGAGACTCGGATCAGAGATGGAAGAGGTCCAGTTCGAACATGGAGGCGTATGAAACAATTAATACGAGGTAGGTTTTTACCTCCTGATTATGAGCAGTATATGTTTGAGTCATATCAACGGTGTGCACAGGGAACAAGAAGCGTGAACGAGTACACCTCAGAATTTCTGAGATTGGTTGAACGGAACCAGTTATCAGAAAGTGACAATCAACAGGCAGCCCGTTATCTAAGTGGTCTGAGACCTGCTATCCGAGACAAGATTGGCGTCTATATGGTTCTCAGTGTGCAGGAAGCAAGGAACTTAGCTTTGAAGACTGAGTTAATGTTCCAAGAAAGGACCCGAGCCGATAACTATTGACGGTATAGTGGGAGCGACAATAGGCGGCAGCAGTCGACAAGGGCAAGCCAACCCAAGGAGTACAACCCTCCCACCCACCGAGTCTAGCCAACGCCAGTAAGGCC